GGGATGCAAGTCCATCTCAGGGTTACCCCCAGCATTAAATTCGCCGGTACCCATTTAATTCTCCTGGCTGAAGAGAGTAAAGTGTCTTGCCCAAGGACACAACATGATGTCCCCGGCTGGGGCTCGAACCCAGACCACTCGATCCAGAGTTGAGCGCACTAACCATGAGGCCCCTACACCTCCTGTTTTAACTAAGATGACTATAAAATAGGTAGCATTTCATAAATGTATAACCTTCTTCTGGAGTTAAAAGTGGCATTAAGATCACAAAAAGAAATGAAATGATCACCCACTGAAGATGCTCTTGATTGTTAAACAATTTCTCCTAATCAGAACCTTAGGAAATATATAGAGACCAGTTTGGAAAATATGCATGATGATATTTAAAGATGTAAAAGGTTAAAATCATCAGATGATGACCATGTGATGATTTGAGTTCCAGCCAGTTCCAGTCTCGTTTAGATCTGTCATGATCTTACTCACCCACAATAGTAGCAACTGTGCTTGTGGCTCCCATGTCATAGAACATAATAAACTGTCAAAATGAAGTGGAAAATAGACAAGTTTCAGCAAAGAGCATACAACGTTTTTAGCAAACTCAAACAAAGACATGTTTATTTGAACAAGGGTACAGTCCGTGCTTCACTTACTCTCTCAGTATTGTTAAAAGACGCTCGACGGAATACTCCATAGTGAAGCGCAACTAAAACAAAATAACATAACTGATTTTTAAAATATTTCAAAATAAAATTCACATACACACAGAAGTCTAACTGTGTGGTCTGAATGGTCTACTTTTCAGGCAGTAACCAGTAAAATTTACCTCCTGCAGTATATCTCTCATTACTGCCTTAAATTGCTTGGAATTCTTCAAACTGGTTCTTCAACCAGTTTGAACAGCTTTTGTGCTTACAATAAAGGAATAACACTGGATGTGTTACCCTTTATGATTTTTCACAAGGTTACTCTACATTTCAATAGTACAATCTGTCTATGGATTATATTTGCGGCAACTTATAAAAATAAACAATATTTCTAGTGAAAAAAAAGACTACCAACTACATGTAGTTTGACTTGAAATATATTTTGTTCTACATTGTTAACAGATTTTCAAGATATGAACCTGAACATAGCGTGTATGCCTAAGCTACTGAAAAACTCTTTCACATGGCTAAGGTTATGATCCTGTACAAGGCTATGCTGATGGAACTTCAAAGTCAAATCAAAGTCTGTTGATGCAACTCATTGAATTAGAGCATGACCATTGAAGGTTTTTGTTATCAAGGGGGGCATTGAGGTCTATTGGAAACCACACAACCAAAGAAGAAATCATCCAAAACTGCAAAACTGCCAAAAAATTCTATCAAAACCAAAAACTGCCTGCAAAGCTGTACTGTGGTGATGAGTGGAGTGTAAAAGAGCAACCAGAACCCATTAGGAAAAACTGAAAAACTACATTAGATACCAAACCTGAAAAACTGTACTTTTGATGAAAACCAAAAACCAAATGTTAAAAAACGCAAAATCTGCAAACCACAATGAACACCAAAACTGAAAAACTGAAGTTTTTCTGCACAGTTGAGACCAAAAAACCAATCTAAAAGATAGCTAAAACCACAAATCTGAAAATCCCAAAGCTACCCTCATTTTCTGTTACAAGACTTGTTCAGATATCTTTTCTTACTAACCTGCTGTATTTTCATTCATTAACTGAAGAACATTTAACCCCACCAACTTTGCAGCCCTGTTGGTAGGGAAAAAAAAAAAAGGTTTGCATGGTTAACAATGAGTGCAAAAGATAGCACTATGCAATATTTCAAACAAGACACAAAAATCAACGAGCGCTGGACTGTTGTGCGGGAGGTCAAGGGTTTGAGCCCCGGCCGGACCAACACTCAGGGTCTTAAAATAATTGAGAAGAATATGCTGCCTTTCTATAACATCAAAAAATGGTTAGATATTCTAGTCTTCTTGGATAGGGACGAATAAATGGAGGTCCCATCTCCTGCAGGGTGAGGGGCAGGAGACTTTAACGCATGAGATTACTGTGTGATGAATGTCCTCCCATGAGGTGGGATGGGTGGTTAACAGGACCCCTATTGATACTAGTGTTTACTACACTGAAAGGGCTATCCTGTATAAATATAGATGTCTACTCTACTCTAAAGTGGAGACAGGGAATTAGCACATGTCAAAATATACCTTAAAACAGATCGCCGTTCAGCTTGGTTGAAAAATGAAGGGACTGTGAGGACCACATCTTTCATTGGGTGATCTGAAAAAAGTTAGGTGTCATAACAGAAATGAATAGCTTGTAACATAACAATCAAAGGTTTAATCTGACTTGAAAGGAAAAAAAGAAAGTTTTTCATAATCATTTATCTTTTGGACTCACCAGCAAATTTCTCTGCAATATTTCTAGAGTGATTTAGTATCATTCCCAGAATTTCCTCTGGAGTAAAGGTGGTCTCACTATCATGTCTGTAGAGAACAGTTCCTGTAAAAAAGGGGGAAAAAAACTTTAATGAAGTAAAATGTACAAAATCTGAGACAAATTCAATAACAGCATTTTCAATCAATTTGAATAGTGGAGAAACTCCTTTCGAATGGAGTAAACCCATAACATAATAGTTTCCTCGGGAAAGACAAATACCACCACATGAATTTGAAATAATTATATCTTTAGAAATGTGAGAGAAACTTGGCTAGTCAAGAGGTTTTGGCCTATGAAAACTGTCCAAGATGAACAGTACTAGCAGCTCAACTTTCACACTTGAGAAGATCTTGGATAAAACTTCAGAGACGACATTCATTTTGGTTGGTTAGGATGTCTAACTAACTGTGGGAAGACACCTGAGATGATTTTTCTGTTGCAACCCGACATTTTTAATGCTGAAAAAAAAATTAACTATACAGTCATTTCATAATGATAACACAGATAAGTAATGAATCGCATACCAGTCTCTTTATCTTCCTCAAGGTCATACCATGGAAACCTGAGAAACAAGAAAGAACTGTAGAAAATATTACCTTTACACCCTAATATCAGTATGCATATTCTCCTTACTGTTCCCTATACGACAAAGGACTAACGCTCAAAAAGTCAGCTTTTGTAATCGTTAAGGTGGCCAATTAACCATTTCAACTTTGTTGATATATCCAAATTATTTCGTTACTCCCACCAAGGCAGCCCCAAACAGTTTCTTTCCAAACTATCAGCCTTTGTTCCCTATACATTTCCTAAGCTGCTGACAAAGAGAATTTGCTTCCTGACGATCAAAAATTTCCTTAGTTAGTGATCATTTCCTTTATTCTCCTGACCTTGGGTGTGTGATTCAGGGGTAATATTGCAAGGAGAAATTACACACTGGTGTCTCAAAGAGTCACTGGGTTGAGAGATCCCTAAATTGTGACCCTCTCAAAGAGGTACTGAGCCGACATTAGAAAAACAAGCTGCACTCCAAGCTGCAGCCATTTAAGCAACTAAATTTGCAGTAAAAGTTGCCAATTAGGAATCATTTAGAGAGCGATGTCAGTACTCAGTAGACAGCAAGTAACTAGCTATTTATATGAGCACGATCCTTCGCAGTAAAGCACTATTTGAGCAATAGTGAAAATCAGACCTGAAAAAAATTTCAGGCCTGATTTTCGAATTAATTTGATGGCCT